TTTCCTTTGGCACTTCTTCCTTGTATCTCATTTTCCACGCCAGCACCATGGAAACACTTTAATAAACAACTACAGATGTCAAAGTGATCATAAAACAAAACAACTTGAGTATGAAATATTTATTCTAAATGAAATGTTCTCAGATCGTATGAAAAACCTATTGGAGCTTCCAAGAGCAATTAAGAATAATGATTAAAGATAGGGGAAGTGTCTGAGAAGAAGTCCATCACTGCCATCAAACTGTAAACAACAGAAAGAGGAAGATATGGGACAAGGGGTGGCCATTCATATAGATGAACTAGGCAGATGCATAGGGTGCCAAGCTGAATAGGGCCACAAATTCTGAAAAAAATCAAATAAAAGAATAAATATTTTTTGTGGAAGTTCTAGCTACATGGTACCCCTAGGACTGGTTGGTGGCTGCTTGTCTAGGTACTCCATGGTGTGGACTCTCCGAATCCATGCCATTTTGAGGTCTTGGAAGTAGCACTTTGAAGAACACACGAGTTTTCTCATGGCATCATGATGCACCAAACCCATGGCTGTGCTATAGCCACACAGACTTGGGAGAAAATTAGGAAGGAAAGAGACTATATACATCACAGAAATAGTTTGTGTAGCTGTAAGATAAAATATGGTACTGGTTAAGAAAAGGGGAAACATCACCTCTCTTCCCAGGACTTGAGAAACAATAAACCTGGTCAGTTCAGCCATAAAACATTTTGAGGGTCAAGGAACATTAATAAAACCTGGAGAAATACTCAGAAATGAGCATAGGTTCTGGGAACAGCTTGTTATAAGGATAGTCCTTTAACAGGAACTTTCTAGAAAGAAGCCATGTTTATGAAATACTACCTCTTTGTTCTCTCAAAACCCATCATTGTCTTTGTAGCCCTGCCCTCATTCCCTCATAGTTCTGCCATAATTACCTCACACCCAACGTGCTGCCATATCCAGGCAAATACTTTGCCACTGTACCCAATCACATGTATGTTCTAACCTTATAGGTTAGAACAGTGTTGTCCAAACTTGGCCACTTTAAGATGAGTGGACTTCAACTCCCAGA